AAAACATGATGGAAAAAACTAGGTTTTCAAAACATATATCTGGTTGCAGTGAACAAACAAACTTTACATATAAGTATTATATAAAATTCTTATTTTACGATTGGTACGAAATGTACCAATAGTAGATATATAGCAGGCATTACTGAGTAAGCCTGAACTCGTTAATTAAGATGATATTATGTTGCATTTACCGCAAAACATACTATCGGTAAATATCCTAATAATGAGATCATGTTTCTTTTGGCACTACAGGTGATGAATGGGTATTCACATTTACCAATGGTTAAAATATTTTTACCATCTGTTGCATATCGTAATATTGGACATGTATGATCATCACTCAAATAATTATTTGGACAAAACATTTAAATACATAGTGTTTGTTATAATATACAGAAAAAATTTATTTACTTACCTCAATTTACTTAAGCTCTTCAAGGTGATACTTGTCTTTTATCTGGAGTGGTTTGCTGCCATAACTTTTCTTAAGAAGCTCCTTCCATTTGAGGTCCAGAGGTACTTCTATTTCAATTCTTTCTTCACTTTGAGACAGCAGTAGAATAAATCTTTATTTTTGTCTGTTAGACCGAGATATAAACCTTATTTTCCCACAAACCCCAGGTCCAGATTTATTTATTGATTTATATATATATATATATATATTTATATATATATATTTATACATACTAATTATAATCTTAAAATTTTATTAATCGCTACACAGTGTTTCACGCTTTCAAAGCGATCTTCAGGCGATACTACTCTAAATAGTTTGCTTGCGCCATTCATTCAACGGTCCGCTGACGCGATTGCATCATGCGCGCGTGCGTTTAAAATTCCGCGCGCTAAATGAGTTTCTGTGGCGGCACTTTGAAAATAGTGAATAGACACATACGAATACGAATAGAATACGACACATTCAAACTGCCTTCAAAAAACTGTGCGCCTGTAGTTGCTGAGATGAAAGCATTTGAGGAAGACGTCATTCATCTAGTGTCAAATGTCAAATTCAGAAAGATCTCGGATCCGTTTTTGAACAATATCGCTGTAGACCTGGAGAAAGTTAATTCTTCTCAAAATGTTTTAATATTTGCCGACAAAACAAGAAATGTCTATAAAGCTACAACCGAAACATATAACAAACTATTGACTGACAACATAACGAAAACATATAAATTGGGAAGCGACGATATATCTGATGTTATCAATTCTGAACTAAAGAATATAACGAGCAATCTGTCGATCGCGGATCGTGTCGACACAATGGCGAGAAAAAACGCGTTCATAACTCTCAAAGACCATAAAGAGAATTTCGACTCTAACCCCAAATGCCGCCTTATCAATCCATCGAAAAGCGAACTAGGAAAGGTTAGCAAGATAATACTCGATGACATTAACAACAAAATTAGATCAACCTTAAGTTTGAGTCAGTGGAAAAATACAGAATCCGTAATCAGCTGGTTCCAAGCCATCAACGATAAACATAATCACACGTTCCTTTCCTTTGATATCGTTGAGTTTTACCCGTCTATATCCGAGCATCTCCTTGACGAAGTTATTTCATGGGCCCAAACATTAACTGACATTACGGATCAGCACATTTCTATTATTAAGCACGCAAGAAAATCCTTACTTTTTCATGATGAGAAAACGAGGGTAAAAAGAAACAACCAATCTCTATTCGACGTAGCAATGGGAAGTTACGATGGAGCCGAGGTATGTGAGCTGGTCGGACTATTCATTTTGAATAAGCTTTCTGAGGAATTTGGAAAGAATAACATTGGACTATATCGAGATGATGGCTTAATGTTGTTGAGTGGAACCGGAAAAAGATTGGCAGACAACGCTCGAAAGTCTCTACACTGCATATTTCACAAACTTGGCTTTAAGATCACTGCCGAAGTTAACAACCAAATCGTCAATTACTTGGACGTAACCTTCAATCTGCAAACAGGGAGATATTCAGCTTACAGAAAACCCAATAACGACCCTCTCTATATAGACAGCCGGTCAAATCACCCCCCTTCTATCATCAAGCATGTCCCAGAATCCATAAGCAAAAGAATATCTAGCTTATCCTCTGATCAATTATCTTTTGATTCATCAGCAGCATGGTATGAAGACGCACTTCACCGCAGCAATTACAACGTCAAACTCCAATATTCAACCAATAGTACCGGCGACACCCCAACACCAAGCAGAAAAAAACGACAAAGAAAGGTGATATGGTTTAACCCGCCCTTCAGTAAGAACGTAAAAACCAACGTGGCACATAGCTTCTTACAACTCATCGACAAGCACTTCCCCCATTCAACTCGACTCCATAAAATCTTTAACCGGAACACTGTGAAAGTGAGTTATTCCTGCATGACCAACATTAAGAACACTATATCCAACCACAATCGACATCTACTGGTAAGAAAGAACAAATCTTTCGATGGATGTAATTGCCGCAACAAGGACGAATGCCCTCTCGATGGTAATTGTCTTACGAAAAGCATCGTATATAAGGCTGAGATTACAACAACAGACGCCGGTGAAACGAAAGAGTATATTGGTATGACAGCAGGGAGGTTTAAAGCAAGATACGCCAACCACAAGAAATCCATCAACTCACCTCGCTATTCAAACGAAACCGAACTTTCTAAGTACGCATGGAAGCTAAAACAAAGTAACCGACCGTATACTATAAAGTGGTCGGTTTTGTCGCATGCATCAGCATATACAGCAGGTGCAAATTCTTGCAACCTTTGCTTAGAGGAGAAGTTTTATATAATTAAATCTCACAAAGATAGGACGTTGAACAAACGAACAGAACTATTTTCAAAGCGCCGCCACAGAAACTCATTTAGCGCGCGGAATTTTAAACGCACGCGCGCATGATGCAATCGCGTCAGCGGACCGTTGAATGAATGGCGCAAGCAAACTATTTAGAGTAGTATCGCCTGAAGATCGCTTTGAAAGCGTGAAACACTGTGTAGCGATTAATAAAATTTTAAGATTATAACTAGTATATTTTGCTCTATCAATTAAATTTGTTATTGAGCACTCTTTTTGTACAACGGACAACGATTTATTATTGTATTATATATATATATATATATATATATATATATATATATATATATATATATATATATATATATATATATATATATATATATATATATTATTAAGATGTAGAAAGGTTGACGCTGGTTTGATAAAAACGTTAAAAACTACGTTTATTTAAAAAGATGTTAAGACGTTTCGACCAGTAACTTAGGTCTTCGTCAGTTAAAAATTTAACAAGGTTCAAAACTGAACAATATATATATAGGTTCAGAGTTAATTAGCAGATAAGTGTTTTATATACATCCGGTATTTCGATATGGTCGTTTCCTGCGTTATGATCCTTGAGGGAATACCAAGCCTCTAAGAACAGACGTTCGCGGTAGTTTTTTGTTTTGTTGACAATGGTGGCATTACTGAAGTCAATTCGGTGATCGTATTGTTCAGCGTGCTTAGCGATTTTTGAATATTGATCAAATTGCGAAACAGCTCGTTCGTGTTCTTTTATTCTAGTTTTTAATGCTCTGTCTGTTTGGCCGTAATATGCAAAGTCACAATCGCAGCAACAGATTTTGTAAATGACTCCGCTTGTCTGCTCGGGTGGTAACTTGTCTTTGGGTTTGGGGAATTGGTGGGAAAGGGTACTGGTAGGTTTGTAGCACACTTTGACATTTTCTCTCCTTAATACTCGGGAGATCTTTTCTGTAACGCCTTTAACATACGGTAAGACTACAAAGCTAGGAGAGACACAATCAGCGGGGTTTGTCCTGTTGTTGTTGGCATCAGTGGTATGCAAATTGCCGTTGGTGTTATCAGTATGACTGCGTTTCCTCTTGATGTCGCAAGACTTTATAAACTTAAGTGGGTAACCGTTGTCTCTCAAGACTTTAAATACATGTCTTCTTTCTCTGCGTTTTCCCCTGTTGGACGAGGGAATTTTCTCAGCTCTGTCGAGGAGAGTATTTAGGACCGACAGCTTGTGTTGTTTGGGATGGTGTGAGTCGTAGTG